GGAAAATGTTAAGAGTCCATTATAAAAGAATTAATAGCTGAGCATTTAGAAAACAGTGGTAGGATTGGACAAAGTCTGCATGGATTTATAAAAGGGAAATCATGCATAACAAGTTCTCTGGAATTCTTCAAGGTTGTAGCTAGTAAAGTTGACGAGGGGAGCTAGTGGACGTGGCAAACAGGAAACAGATTAGGAATAAATGGGTCTTTTTTCCAAATGGCAGGCAGTGACTCGTGCTAGAACTCTCGTTATTCACAATATACATTAATGATTTGGATGAGGGAACTAAATGTAATATCTCCAAATTTGCAGACAAAACAAAGCTGGGTGGGAGGATGAGCTGTGAGGAAGATGCAGACATGCTTCAGTCTGATTTCGGGCAAGTTGAGTGAGTGGACAAATGCAGTATAATATGGATAAATGTGAGGTTATCCACTTTGGTAGCAATTCAGGAAGGCTGATTATTATCTGAATGGGGATTAAATTGAGAAAGGGTGTGCAGTGAGACCGGGGTGTTCTCGTACACCAGTTGCTGGAAGTAAACATGGAGGTGCAGCAGGTGATAAATAAGTCAATAAGGAGAGGATTCAAGTACAGAAGCAGAAATGTTTTGCTGTAATAATGCAGGGCCTGATGCGACCATACTTGGAATCTTGTGTGAATTTTTGGGCTCCATTTCTGAGGAAGAATTTTGTTACTAGAGAGGGAGTGCAGAAGATTTCTGGGATGGCAGGACTGATTAGGAGGAGTAGTTGAATTGGTTAGGATTATGTTGCTGGAGCTCAGAATAATGAGGGGGCATTATAAAGAAACCTATAAAATTCTAACCAGAATAGACAGGGTATGTGTAGGAAAGATGCCCCTAATGGCAGGGTAGTTCACAGCCAGGGTTCACTATCTAAGGATATGATATAAACTACTTAGGACTGAGACAAGAAATTTCTTTACCCAGAAAGTGGTGACCCTGTGGATTCACTACCACATAAAGGAGTTGAGGCCAATACGTTGTACAGTTTCAAGAAGGACTTGGATGTAGCAATTGGGGCTAAAGGAAACAAAGGATTTGGGAGGGGAGGGTGGAAAGCAGGAACAAGTTATTGAGTTGGATGATCAGTCATGGTCATAATGAATGCCAGAACAGGCTCAAAGGGCCAAATAGTCAATTCCTTCTCCTACTTTCTGTTTCTAAATGCCATTAATCTTTTTTTCTATAGTAGAGCAAGAACCAATTTTGACTGCTGCTGGTAGGCAGGGCTTGTTAATTGTATCCAGAGGTATTTTATACACCTCTGAACCATTTTTTACCAAAACTAAATCATGCACGTGTCTAATTAGACAAAATTTCTACACACAGTGCCCATTGAGGAAGACAGAAATGAGGAAAGGTTGAGAGCGAGAGAGGCAGGACTCAATTAAAATGGAGTTAGGGGTTGTTGTGTTCCTAGAAGGACCAGGAGGTTTAAGTATTTAATGGCAGGAGCTTTATTATGCTAAGTCTACAGGCAGCAAGGTAAAACTAAACCATTTCTCACCAAAAATAGCTGATGAAATCGTCATTACAGCACATGATGGGACTTTCAAGTCTCAATCCACCATACTTACACAAGTACACAGCGGGGGGAGCAGTTTACTTTTCAAAAAAAATCAGTACCAATCACTTGTATATAGCTCTGTCTTTGACTGGCTGTCTCAGGGCCCTCTTCTCACACGCTCCACTGGATAATGCTGACTGCCTGTCCCAGGTTGTCTGTTCGACTGTTCTTCTGTGTACCACATTTCCTCTGAAGCAATCCATTATCTTTATCAATATAGCAACTTGAGGCCTTTACAACTAACCAGATGATGCTCTTTTTAAAAAAAGAGAAGCAGAGCATTAAAGATGGTTTGGAAATTGCAAGGATTAGAATTTCCCATGTGCATGTTTTTAAAAGTATTTCACTTGTATCCAATGTACAAGGTTCATCAATGGGACTTCCGGTGCCTTTTTAAACATTTAAACTTCTGTTGAGAGTATGTCAGAATACTCAAATTTAAAATCTAAAAGAATTTAAACTGTGCTGTAATAGTTTGGGGATTTTGCAAATACCAAAAGAACCTTCTGCAAATGGATAAATTGTCATCTGAGATTAAACACATTTCCATTTTATAATGCCTTTGGACTAATACAATTTCCAGGCAGCCTAGACAGAAATGAAGTACAGGCAAGAAAGAAACTTTTAAAATATAGTTTCTTTAAATAATGTAGCTGCAAGATTGGGTTCCATAGCACCACCTGTATGAGCAGCCTAAAAGCTTCAATGGCCTAAAATGGTACTGGCTAATCATCCAGCATAACCTACATACTGTTGATATTTTTAATCAAACTGTTCAGGGTTGTTATGTCCCATCTCTGGAGAAGGTGGGAATTGAATCTGGGCCTTCTGGCTCAAAGTTAGGGACATTACCACTGTACCACGAGACTCATTTTAAAGTGTAGTCTACCTGGTATTCCCAGGTAGTCTCCCATCTAAGTGTTGACCAGGCCTGCTTAGCTGCCAAGATCATTGGGTGTTTTTAGACAAGAGTGACGATACAGAGCTCACGTGCTGGATCTTTGGAACTGCAAATGACGAAATTGAATGAAGGCTATAGAGAAGAGATGCTCTGTAAAGAGTGAGGGGAACGATTTGCTGCAGGTGGCTGTTAGCCACCACAGCTTTTCGTAGAGCGTATCTTCCTACTCCCGCCAGATCCGTGGACAATACATGAGATATCTGGCAAATTAGTCTGATCTGAGCTATAATGATCGTAATGACTTTGTGCGTTTCTCTATATTTTTTATTGCATTTATGTTTCTAACACATCTTGATGTAACCTCGGCTGATGCTTCTGACAGATGTCACCCATACAAGAGCAACCAAATACATTGCGGTGGTTTTAATCCCTGAGGGGAGAAACTGGTGAAATGGCTGATCACTTTTCCAGGATAGCAGATTTCTCAATGGTCTATGGTGCCATTGACTGAACACCTGCTACCTTCGTATGTGTGGCTCGTGACCTTCCATGACTTGACAACATGGCTATAAGCAAGAATCATGGAGCTACCAGCAGTGTTAGGGTGAAGATATGTGTTGAATATTTGAGTTGTCCAAACTTGTTGTGATCTGCTGTATCCTTCATAACTGTACCCTTATGTTCATGCAATTGTTACAAAGTTGGGTAGAGTAAATGTGACGTGGAAGGCAGGAAGCTAAAATGTGTGGTTCCTTTAAGAGATTTGTGCTTTGCCTGTACTTAGAAATCTTTTTTTTTTTAAAAAAGAATGTCTGTGAGCAGCAGCTGAAGTTGCCAGCACAGAGGGCCTCAAAAAGTGAAACCAGTATATCAAAAAAGCCTTACAGGTGGCAGGTAAAACAACAGTCTTGTTTTGATTTTGTGACGAGTTTAAATTTGGCCAATTCATTTAATAAACTTTGCAATTCGAAGCCAATTGAATTTAAAAACTGATGGTGTTGACAACCTGAAACCAATCCTATTATAAGAATTTGATTATGTCATTATGGGTATGTAAGACAAGGGCATTTGGAAAATCGGACAGAGCCAACTGCCATCTGAAAGAGAGAGCCATCCACCACCTGTCAGAGTTAGCACCATTCAGCTCTCCGAGAAAGCCCATCTAATTAATCAAAGGTACCATGGTATTTTAGCTCAAAGTCCTCATTGAATAAATTATAGAGATAAAACATTCCTGCCAGCAGAATTAACAGAAGAAAGGTGTTTGTGAACAGACCAGAGACAACAGAATATTCCACACGACCATCTGTGTGAACTTGGAGAGATTAAGTTATAATTTATTGCTGCTTATTAATTGGATTTATATTAATGGGACTTGTATTTATTTAAACAGCATTCCAGTAGAATTTTGACCAGTTAGGGAGTAGTTAGTAGTCTAAGAGGGAATTGTTGGCTTGTTAGTAATTTTGTTAATTTGTTCGTTGTTTGGTTAAATAAACAAATAGTTTCATGTTACTTGTAAAGTGGAGATTAGGAATTTTCTTTCTTTTAACCACTCTTTTAACAGATTACCAGGGGAAAGACAAGCTTCTCTGGGTGTTTTCGGGGTAATTATTAGAGGGGAACCCCTACTCTTGTCAGAACAGATTGGAGCTTGTGTTTAGTTTAATTATCAGAGGAGTTCGGCTATTCCCTGTTGTAACACCATGTAAATGCCATGAGAAATCCAGACACGTTCCAGAAGGAGGCATCTCAAACCCTTTTGCGTGCGATACAGTGCCTAGGTGCACCAACCCAGATTTCCTTTTCCAGAAATATTCCATTGCTGTCATGAATCCAAAATTTTCATCTGAGGAACAATCACAATATCCCGTAGGCCAACATCCCACAATAAAAGCGACCTATGAAAGTGTTTTCATTATCATCTATCAATAACACATCCAATTACATAACAAGAAATGAATTGTTTACCCTAGTGCAATCTTGTAGTACCTGCCTTATGGGTATCTGTGACTGTCCTAGTGCTCCTATAAGGTGTTGCCCACTGCCTGTGGCATGGCTACTGACTTTCACTGGTGCAGACTACAGATTACTTTGTAGAATGATGCCAAGCAGGCTGGGCTTTGAGATCCTAGCTTGTCATTGATGACAGTAGGACTTTGAAGAGGTAATGGCCTAGTGGTATTATTGCTAGACTATTAAGCCAGAAGGATCTGAGGAAGGTCACTGGACCCAAGATGTTAACTCTGATTTCTTTCCATAGATGCTGCCAGACCTGCTGACTTTTTCCAGCAATTTCTGTTTATATATTCTTGCGTGGCTGATCTATATAGCAGAATGTATATGTTCCTGTTCAGTGAATTTCAAACAAATAAAGCCAAGTTTTCATAGATTATCTGATTTAATAATCTGAAGTTTCCTGCTGTTACTAGGATGTAATAAGTTTGTCTTAAAATTTTGCTTCAAAGGCTTTCTGTTACAATATTTCTGTATTATTCCATATGCAGGAAATGTTACAATTCGGACTGATGCAGGTTCTGTTACAGTAGGTAAGAAACTATCTCATTCTGTTTGTATTAATTCCAATTTATATATGGGAATAATTCCATCAGAACTTCAATTATGGTTTGGGTGCAAATATCTGTTCTGAGACCATGTGGGCGTATATATTGCAAACAAAAAGATGTGGCTTCATTTAGTGGCTCCTAATAACACTTGCTACTGAAAGTAGAAAATAGATCCAACCTCAAATGACTAAGAAACAATTGGCAGAATTTTCCAGGCCTGCCTGAAGCTTTTAAAAGAGTAGATGGGGATCTTAATTGGCAGAAGGCAAACATTTACTTTCCCAATGGTGGATTGAAATTTTACTATTAAGTTCTCAGAAGATTGGTTCGAGTTCCCGGTCAAGAACTTAATTTGTATTCATTAGTATGTTATAAATACTCATTAGCACCCCAGCTGCTGGAATTATGTTGTTGGGTGCAATCTTGTTGGCCAAAAACAGGAAACATGTGTGTTCACAAATCTGACATGAGGTTTATACTTGGTACGATTTCATAATTAAGATGTTTCTTTTCACTAATTTTTAATGTTTGGGTTGAAGCCCCTCCCCTGTTGATCAGTTCATGACAGGCTCAACTATATGCAGTTTAGCTTGTTTTTATTACTGCGCATGGTGAAGCCATCAGCCAACAAGCCTGCCCCAGCAAGGCAGCCACACTGGCTGAAGCCAGCAGACTTGACTGGGGAAAGTAATTGAGTTGAACTCAAAAGGAGGCTAAACCCAAAAAAGCCATATTTTGTGGTCATGGTTGTGTCGTCATCCTATGGGAGACTTTGGTGAAAAACTATCAGATGTATGCAGTTTCCTAGTTGTGATGCAAAGTCAACGATCTGATAGTGTTTGAGCTGCTGAGTAGTATAGCTCCTTCTGTGCTTCGACTGTGAATCCTGGCAGATGTGTAAGAGGCAGTACCGCTGTGATGTCAGTAGAGCTACATTGGTAGCTGCAATGAAGTGGCAGAAATTGATTGCACATTGATTGATTGAGAGAGGGGATTTCTGACACCAGACCTCCTGTATGACAGTCCTCTGCAGTGACAACCTTACAGTGCTAACACTCAAAGGGACATTAAGCATTGAGTAGATGGTAGTACTTTTCCTGGTTGAATTCAGCAGGTCATTCAACCTCTTAAAACTATAGAAAAGTTGCAATGCAGAAAGAGGCCATTCAGTCCCTCGTGTCTGCACTGGCTGAATAAAGTAGCTCCCACGTACCAGCACCTAGGCCATAGTCTTGTAGGCCGCAGTGTTTCGTGTGCAAATCCAGGCTCCTTTTAAATGAGTTTCCACCTCGACCAAACTGGGCAGCAAATTACAGATTTCCACCATCTCCTGGATGAGAGAGCTTTTCCTCATGTTCTCTCGAATCCAGGCACTTTAATTCTGTGTTCTCTGGTAATTGACCTTTTCATGTGGGGAAACAGGTCTCCCCTGACCGCTGTATCCAAGCCCCTCAGTATTTTGTTACAGCTCAATTATGTCACTCCTTCACTTCTATTCTAAGGAAAACAAAACTAGCCTATCCAATCTTTCCTTATACTTGCAGTTTTAAAACCTTAGTAAAATTGTTGTTCAGCACTTCACCTAATGAAGGAAAGAATCTTGTGTAGCTTCTAACCATATTATCTATCTACCTGTCCCACCACCTTCAGGGACCTGCGAACTTGCACTCCAATGTCTATCACTTCCTCCACCCCTCCTAGTAACTTCCTTTATTGTATATTCCCTTCCATTGTTTTGCTTGCCTTTCCCAAACGCATAAACCTGTACTTCTGCAGGTTGAATTCTGTTTGATGCTTTTCCACTAACTTGACCCAATTCGTTAATCTCTTTACAGTTGACAGCCAACCTTTTCATTATCAACTATCCAGCCAATTTTGTGTCATTAGCAAAGTTCTCAATTGTGCCTCCCTCTTGCCTCTTGTGGCACTGGAGACAGGTTCTCTAGAGCGTCCCACAGGCACTGGCCGTGTAGCCATCCCTGTCCAGGCTGCCTTCATCGGTCTGGACAGCTTCTTGTTGCCATTCTATACACAAAAGAACTTCCTTTCTCTCTGATAGCCTTTAGGAGAAACTTTAAGGAGGTGTCCATAAAACAAGGATTTTTGCCTATTCTGTGACATCTCCAGGGTTGGGTGAGAGTGATGAACAATCATTCATTGAAATGTTACCCAGCGGTGTTATATAGCTGCATAACCACTCAGAGTCTGTTTATGCCAATCTGTGTGCCAGTGCAGTCACTTCTCGATTCTACCTTTTTAAATAGGGTGCCAGATGTTGGAGCCCTGAAGGTCCTGGCAGGCTTCAGACCTTCTTGTCCATTAAATTTGACATTTTATGCATGTGTGCATGTGTAATGAGCTGAGAAAAATGTAATCCTGTGGGGCATGCAACCAATCCTGGCAAAAGCACCCCCCCTTGACTGATTTTTAAAGCTGCTCCTGTTTTGCTTATGTTCTCCCAATCCTTCACTAACAACTAGATCAGGAGAGGAAAGAGATGTGTGGGAGTATTTTACATATACTTGGATTGTCAAAGTCCCAGCCACAAACTCACAGCTCCAGCTTCGTATTGAATCCAGATCTTGAAACATAGCTCAAGTCCAGGAGATGGAAGGAGTGATAGGAAGTGTCGGGGTGGAGACTGAAACTTGGAGGGCTGGGGATTGGGGAGTGGCCACAAGGTTGAAGAGCCATGATAGTCTCCAGCAACCAGGAGTTCTGGGAAGCAGGATTGTTGGCAGGAAGTTGTTTAGCTAGAAAGTTACATTTTTGTTTCTTCATTTTTAAACTTTTATCAGAAAAGTTAGTTCATTTACCAGAGTACCAGTGTAGGAATTTATCAATGTAAAATATTTAACTTGAAAGTTAGCATTTTGGCTGAACTTCCACTGCAGGTTGAAACCTTGGATGTTTAGCTTTATGGTGTCTTGGACCTTATTTGTTGAGTTCAACTTGTGCAATGAATAAAAAACTTCAAATCAAGTAAAGATGATTTATTTCATTGGATAACAAGGTGTAGAGCTGGATGAACACAGCAGGCCAAGCAGCATCAGAGGAGCAGGAAAGCTGACGTTTTGGGCCTGGACCCTCCTTCAGAAATGGGGGAGGGGAAGGGGGTTCTGAAATAAATAGAGAGAGAGGGGGAGGCGGATAGAAGATGGATAAAGGAGAAGATAGACAGACAGGTCAAAGAGGTGGGGATGGAGCCAGTAAAGGTGAGTGTAGGTGGGGAGTTAGGGAGGGGATAGGTCAGTCCAGGGAGGACGGACAGGTCAAGGAGGCAGGATGAGGCTAGTAGGTAGGAGATGGGGGTAGGGTTTGAGGTGGGAGGAGGGGATAGGTGGGAGGAAGGACAGTATAGGGAGGTGGGGACAAGCTGGGCTGGTTTTGGGATGCGGTCGTGGGAGGGGAGATTTTGAAACTTGTGAAGTCCACATTGATACCATTGGGCTGCAGGGTTCCCAAGCGGAATATGAGGTGCTGATCCTTCAACCTTCGGATGGCATCATTGTGTCACTGCAGGAGGCCCAGGATGGACATGTCGTCTAAGGAGTGGGAGGGGGAGTTGAAATGGTTCGTGACTGGGAGGTGCAGTTGTTTAGCGCGAACGGAGTGTGGGTGTTCCACAAAGCGGTCCCCAAGCCTCCACTTGGTTTCCCCGATGTAGAGGAGGCCACAATGGGAACAGCGGATACAGTATACCACATTAGCAGATGTGCAGGTGAACATCTGCTTGATGTGGAAGGTCTTCTTGGGGCTTGGGTTGGGGTGAGGGGGGAGGTGTAGGGGCAGTGTAGCACTTCCTGCGGTTGCAGGGAAAAGTGCCTGGTGTGGTGGGGCTGGAGGGGAGTGTGGAGCGCATAAGGGAGTCACGGAGAGATTGGTCCCTCCGGAAAGCAGATAAAGGGTGGGGGAGGGAAAAATGTCTTTGGTGGTGGGGTCGGATTGCAGATGGCAGAAGTGTCGGAGGATGATGCGTTGGATCCGGAGGTTGGTGGTATGGTACGTGAGGACGAGGGGGATTCTGTTTTGGTTGTTATTGTGGGGAGGGAGTGTGAGGGCTGAGTTGCGGGAAATGCGGGAGACACTATCGAGTGCGTTTTCGACCACTGAGGGGGGGGAAGTTGCGGTCCTTGAAAAACGAGGACATCCGAGATGTACGGGAGTGGAATGCCCGGCGGAGAAACTGTTCAACGTCCAAGCGTGAGTGGTATTCGTTGATGTTTGGGTGGAGGGGGACAAAGGTGAGCCCTTTACTGAGGGCCTCCGCCTCCGCGCTTACTTCTTTAACCATGGGCCTAACCCTCCCTCTACTGACCCCTTCTCCTGCCTCCAACACACCCCCTCCTCCTGGACACCACCCCAAGGCCTCCTACCCTCCCTCGACCTCTTCATCTCCAACTGCCATCGAGACATCAATCGCCTCAACCTCTCCACCACTCTCACCCACTCCAACCTCTTCGCCCACAGAACATGCAGCCCTCCACTCCAATCCCAACCTCACCATAAAACCCGCGGACAATGGAGGCGCAGTTGTAGTATAGCGCACTGACCTCTACATTGCCGAGGCCAGATGCCAGCTCTCCGACACCTCCTCCTACCGCCCCCGACCACCAAAACGTCATCTCCCAAACCATCCACAACCTCATCACTTCAGGTGACCTCTCACCCACAGCCTCCAACCTCATCATTCCTATACCCCGCACCGCCCACTTCTATCTCCTTCCCAAAATCCACAAACCTGACTGCCCTGGTCAACCCATTGTCTCTGCCTGCTCCTGCCCCACTGAACTTATCTGTACTTAACTCGACTCCATTTTCTCCCCCTTGGTCCAGCAACTCCCCACCTATGTCCGTGACACCACTGACGCCCTCCACCTCCTCGAAAACTTCCAATTCCCTGGTCCCCAACACCCCATCTTTACCATGGACGTCCAGTCCCTATACACCTGCATTCCCCATGCTGATGGCCTAAAGGCCCT